TATAAACCATTTTTTAATAAATACCTTACATATATATTATCTTACATATTAAATATGGAATTTTAATTTAATAAAATGAAAAATACAATAAAATGATAAGTGGAAAATAGAAAATATAAAAAATCTAGAAACTGTCATGTGTCCAAACGAAGGAGAAAAGGACATGTGGCAAAAAAAACCTTCATTTATTAGAGTAGATGCAGAAAATCAATTCGAGTTCAATGATAATGAGGCAGATTATACTATAGACGATGATAACATTGAATTTCAGAAAGGTTAGTATATGATAAAAATAAATTTAATAAACTAGATTAATTCTTTGAAACTTTTTTAATTTTTCTTTTATGCAGAACAATCTCATGTTACACATGATTATGTATCTCCTGGTGGATCATCGTATTGGATTCCTGTTGTTTCAGACAACATCAAACCTAAAATCAATTCAATTTTTGATTCATATACAACAACATTATCAATGTATTACAATTATGTTTCATTAGCAGATTTTGATGTCAGGCTTGGACCATTTAGAACAACCGAATCTAGCATTACCACACAACGACATTTGATATGCAATCGGGAAGGTAAACCAACAACATCTAAAGTGGATACTTTGGACCCTCAACATAATAAGATTCAGAGAAGGAAAGACTCATTTAGGTGCGAATGCAAAGCGAAAATTGTTGTTATTCTACTACATGGTACTAATAAATATAATGTTGCAGAATTTGTTGAACAACATAATCATATGTTGTTTGGTAAGGACAATATGTTTTTGTCTCGTACAAAGAGGAAACTTGATTATTCACAGGAGATGTTTATTCATAACTTGTCAAAGCAAAATATTGGTGCCTCAAAATCACATAGATTGTATTCCGGACTTCAAGGTGGTTTTGACATTCGAGGTGGGTTGGTTTTTGATTTCAAGAACAATATGAGAAATCTCAATTCTTACATAGGTGCCAGGGATGAAAAATTCCTTGTATTGAAGATGTTGGAGAGGAAAAAAAACATCCCAAGTTTTTCTTTCGATTTTAGAGTTGTTGAGGAAATTTTGAATTCGATTTTTTGGGCTGACGAAACTGCAAAGTACAACTACAATGCTTTTGGAGACGTTGTTTCTCTGGATACCACATTCAACATGAATAAGTATTATTAAATTTTGCAATCTTCTCACATAATTTTTCTTGATTCTAATAACGCTTACCAAGTTTTATATTTTTAAACAGATATGATATGGTTTCCGTACCTTTCACTGGGATAGATAATCATAAGAAATGTGTGACTTTTGGCGCTGGACTTTTGAGTAGAGAAGATGCGAGTTCTTACTCCTAGCTGCTTAGATCATTTTTGAAATCATTCAAAAAACAACCTACTTGTTCTCACAGATCAAGATCCAGCTTTAAATAAGGTTGTTAATGAAGTATTTCCAATGTCAGCACATATGTTTTGTATGTGGCATATTACAAAAAAAACATCCAAACAAGGTCAATATTTTTTTTATATTTAACCCAAACTCACTATGTTTATCTTGTTAGCACATATTTTTCAAATAGAAATAAAATATTTCAGAAAAAAAATATATGCCTCAACTACAATTCATTACCGACTTTTGCTAGATTTTAAGATACATTCTTTAAGAATTTCATGAAGAACATTTTGTTGGAATTCATAGTTTACACCATTCAGTCCCATGCATTCCTTATGCAGCACAATTATTTATTTTATACTAACATATATATATATATATATATATATATATATATATATATTTTTAGATACATCGCAACTAGCTACAAATTCAGCCTTTCGAAAGCGTTTTCACTCTATAATTTGGAATTCTAAGCTGGAACCACATGATTTTGAAAAGGAATGGAAATCTTGTTTAAATGAGTTTAACATATCAAATAACAAGTGGTTGCAAGAGATGTATGGGTTGCGTAGACATTGAGTACCTGCAATTTTCAAGGACATACCGATGTCTGATCTTATGAGAACTACATCACTGTCGGAAGGCCAAAATTGGTCGTTTCAGAACAATACCCTTACTGGTTCTTATCTTTTAATGTTTATGATGACATTTGAGGGTGTTATGGAACGGTAAAGGCATAATCAAGTTGTCAACGACTTTAACACTGCTACAACACTTCCCAGATTCATCACATCTAGTCCAATTGAAGCACATGCTTCAGAGGTTTACACTCGTAAAAAATTTTATCAGGTGCAGAAAGAGATATCAGACTCTGATAACACTTGTTTCCAAATGAGTGTTACTTCTAATAATTGTGTTGACACTATTATTGTTTTGTAGAAACAAAAGAATATAACAACAAGGCAACCATCAAGTCCTGTTGTTGATGACAAACTTGAGGAATACCATTACGATCGTCTTATAGAGGATACTCAACACATTGTACGTTATTACTTTAACAATGCATAATTTTGTTTTTTAATCACACAACAATACTTTATTACTGAAACTCATATTTATTCATACATATTCCAGGTTACACACTCAACAATAGATGGTTCATACAAATATACCTGCATGCATTTTGAACATGTAGGTATTTTGTGTAGGCACATATTTTGTGTTTTTAAGTTCTATAGTATTGAACAGATTCCTGAAGAATACATTATGAAACGGTGGCGCTGGGATGTTGTTCCAACAGAATTGCTTAAAAGGCGTTTTTCTAATTCTTTACTAGACTCTAAGTCTGACATGAAGGCTATTGAAATTTTTTCAAACGTAGATCGTTGTGTTTCATTTTTAAGCCATGATGCATTGAAGTTAAATTCATACCTTGAAGAGTTGAATAAGTTGAAGAAAAAATTTGTAGATGACTGTCCAGCCCCTGAGATGCCATCAAGAGAAGCATTCTACAACCAGATTATAGGCGTAGAATTAACTAATGATGCTCCCGATATTGACAACCCATCAAATATTCGTAATAAGGGAACTGGCAGTCGTGGCAAGAGATTAAAATCAAAAAAAGAAATGCTGCAAAAAGTTGGTTCGAAGCCTAAGTGAAAGTGTGCTTTATGTCAACAGATGGCTAACTATGATAAACAAAATTATCCTCTTAAAAAACGTGTCTAAGTAGTATGCTTTATATGTAGTTTTCTTTTAATATTATATTACATTAAAACTTTTTTGTTTCATCTTTATTTATTTTACTGCTTACAAATTTCATCATATTTAATAAAATTGTCATACATTGTTATACACTTTTGCATATTTTGTAACAATTCTTATCTACCATTAATGAGTATCCTAACATGTATCACATAACCTTCATACATTCTACCACGATTAATGTGCATCTTATCTGAAATTCAAAAATAAAACAAACAAGGAAAATCATAATATTCATACATTCTACCACTTGCAAAACAGCACATATATTCTGTCAGAATATCTTGTAAACATAACACTTAGTAGTTTCCTTTTTTAATGGACAGGTCAAATGTACACATATTATTCTTGAAAAACAAAACATACATGTGCATTACAAACCATCTTTCAACAACTCATTTTTGTTACACTTTACCATTTATAACATAAGCTAATATATTCTTCCAGAACATTATGTAAAGTCATATCTAACAACTCTTACACATGACTATTTTGTATCACATATGACATATATCATCGAAACAATCATGGTAAATCATAATCTTCATATATTCTACCACTTATACTCAAACATATACATTCCATCAGAATATCATTTAATTATACTTAAAACATTTTACATACACCAAAACTGTCTACACTAACTTGTATTAAACTACCACAACAAATGCATATCGTAATGTATGATTTATAAACTTAATTTATCTGTACATTACAAGCCATCTTCCAACACATTGCATTTTTTGATAGCTTTCATATCCATATACACATTCCAACATCAATCAAGTGGTAAAAATTACCAAAAAATAAATTATACTACAACAAACACCATTCACATTAACCTGTTTCTAAAAAACAAACAATTCTAGAACATAATAAAACACATCAACATTGTTCCCAAGCAAATAAGTTAGACCAAAACAAACAATGTTACCAAAAGTCTTACACCATATAACAATCCTACCATGATAAACTGTTACCCCAAAACACACAATACTATACCAAAATAAAAAAACATAGACTTAAACCAAACATACTACCAAACGTCTTTGAAAACCAACCATCCTAACATCATAAAACACCCATCTTAAAATGGATGCCTTCCACATTTCTGCTTCTCCCTGATTTCCTTCATTTCATTCATCATAGCCAAGATCTGCAATGGATCAAGCATCTCATATGCTTCTGCATCTTTCTCCAACATACTTTTATGTTTGTTGTACTCTGATTTCATAATCTTTGCCATGTATTTAATTTGTAGATTATTTAATGCAAGTAAATCAGTCTGTTTTTTCCTGAAAAACTGCAATCCCAACGCCCTTCATTTTCCCCCATATATGACTCCATATGCCTCATAAGATATACTCCACAGTCTGATCCTTCTTTCTCTACTTTCCATGTTATTTTCATTACATGAGCTTTAATCTTGTTGAAAGCTGTTGACTTTTGGTAATTCTCTGTTTTCAAATAGTTCCCAAGTAACTTTTGTATGCGATACAAACAATCATTTTACAATTCAATATTAAACTCATGTGTTTTAAATCTTGCAAATAATAAAGCTTAAACATACCACATGAATGTGTTTTATTCCATAGGTTTGCTCAACATAACCATTTCGGGTCACATGGTCTATAATGTAGTATGTTGGAACCCCTAGATCAAAGCATATCAGATAATATTTGCTTTTATCAACTATTGGGAAGAAAACCTATTACATAACACATAGTGGTCCAATAAGATAGTATTGTATGTTATGGTTGTAATTGATAAAAAACAAGGTTTAATTAATTCACCAGTCCAATATCCTTCAGCTTTTCCTGTTTTGGTAGACTTTTAAGGTGGAGTTTCAACATCAAATCTATAATTATTGAGTTATTTCAGGTGACAATGATCCACCCAGTATCTCTTCTGCCTGTACAGATTAATAAACCAATCAATAAAACACATATTATTCGACTGGAACTAATTTTAATTTAAATACTTACCAAAAAAATTGTGTCAAAGAATAATCTAGAAACTGATCCTACATCCCTGAGTTCCTCCATTTTGTTGAGTAATGATGACCAACAATCAATGATTATCACATGAATAAACGTGTTGCTTTTAAAATGATATGCGGATCCTTGATGCAAAACATGCCCGCTACCAATGTTCCATATCTCTTCCCTGCTCGACAATTATAAAATGATCACTGTTATAACACCACACATTTTAAAAGCAAACCACTAAATTGTATTATGTAACTTACCCATAATCTCTTTTTGATGCAAAAACTAAGTTGTATAACGACATTTCATCCTTCTTCACCTTCTTACTCATTTTAACAATCCTTTCAACAAAAGGTGATTTTCCATATACAGGTATCTTTTAATCTCTTTTCCCTTTTTTCCATGGTCATCATCTTCCTCACATACCTCAACTATTTCCATAATTTTCTTTCCTCTTTTTTTTCTCTTTTTTATAACTTTCCAACATAGCCTCATCCGTCATTTTAATTGATGTTGCCAACACTTCAGGATTCTCCAAGAATTGTGAACAGATTAGATTATCTGTATTACCTACCTTATCCATTTGAGGTGTACTGAAACCTCCACCATCATCCTTCTTTTACCATTCAACTACCAATCCTCTAATTGGCAAGAATTTTGCTTCTTTACCACCATCTGCATCTCCTTTGTTACTACGACCATCAAAACCAGGATCCTTGTCTTTCACTCCTCCACTATTTGCATTATTAACGTCTTTGAATTTTTTTTTCTTTTTTTTTTTCACTCCACTCCTTCAAGCTTAAGCTATCTGGGAATTTCTCAATTCCATGTTTTATAGCTTTTTCAATATTCTTGTTTTCAGACAATATTACTCCATATCTATGCTTGATAACAACCACGTATGCCTATAATTTTTATATTAACATATCATGATTAATATTCTAAAAAAAAAATGTTCCAAATAGATCAATAACTATAAATCAAGTTATACAATTTAAATCAGTTACATCTGTATTTATGTTTTATATTAAACTATCATTTTTTACAATTCTGAAAGAAATATTGTTCTTAATTCTTAGTGAATTTATAGATTACCTCCTCATCACCATAATCCCTTATCATACCGTCGAACATATCATCTTCATCAACCAATCCATCATCATCACCAATATCCTCAAAGATTTCCGGTAACTGCCTACCAAACCCCCCAGCACTAATCTCCATCTTCTCTTTTTTTCAAGTAAAGAACCAGTAACATTTCTAACAAACGGTAACCTTTTCACTATCTTCAAACCTGCGAACTTCATTCTATATACATACACCAGCTACATAAAAAAAGATTAAACTTCATTAAGTAATTCATTATACATATTACTGTCATAAAATAAAGTAAATATTTAATATACACAACAATATTACCGTCAAAACTAGTATACGCCCATTGTAATAGCATGCCTTATCATCTCTTCTCCACAGTTGTTTTCTACTTACCAAACAATCTAGGATATACTTGCACCAATCAATTTTAGAGAAGTCCTTTACCAAGACCAACTTATTCACAACATTAATTTGATTTGTACCACTCAAAGTTGATTTAGCAAATGTGTTAATGAAAAGGGTAAGGAAATTCAGCCTAAACATATGTAACAACCCGAGTTCAGAGGTGCAAGTTCAGGGTTCTTCATGTAAATAAGGAAGGACAGCTCGGGGAGTCGATGGATAGACTCGGCGAGTCAAGTCGCGATTCTGGTCAAGTGTTAAGTGACCAACTCAGCAAGTCGGCGGCTGAACTCGACGAGTTGGTGCTGAAAGAAGAAAACCCTAATCCGAGGATTGTGCCCTATATAAAGCACATTATAGCCACCTTCAGCCTCTTGGCTACCCATTTAAAATCCAAAAACCCTCATCTCGTGTGTGTGACTGTATTGATGAAGAATTAGAGCTTGGAAGAGAAAATTGGTGTAAGAAGCTTGGGGATTTGGAGACCATCATCAAGGGGCTTCAGTAGATCTGGAATCTACTTCTTTTTGGGCACATTTCAGGGGTAAGGAACCTCCTCCTTAAGCTATTTCATTATTGTTTCATGAATGGTGGTTGATTTGGAATTTATTAGCTTGTTTGGGAGCTATCTCGAGTCTGAGGCTTCGATCTGAAGTTGCTACTTCAGATCTAGACGTGTGATGGCCCAAAAGGTCCTAAAGTTCCTGTCTAAGAGTCATTGGTGAAGCCCTTTGTCTTGAACCCTAGCCCTAGAAGTGTTTTGGGCATATATCTTCTTGCTTTCACGTAAAGTTTGCAACTTTATGTGAGGGTTAGGCTGTAGAGGAATGGATCAATGGATTGGAGTCCCTGCATGGCTTGAAAAGCCTCTGTTTGGAACGAGAAATGAAGAGACTCGGCGAGTCACATGGGTGCGCTCGACGAGTTGTATGAATATGTGCATGGACTCGGCGAGTTAGGAGGAACAACTCGGTGAGTCTGTTAAAGATTACCTTGGAGTCGACGAGTCTGTTCTTGGACTCGGCGAGTCTAGTCGTGGAACCCTAACCTTTTCTAGTTAAGTTATGAATCGGTGAATCGAGGGATGACTAAGTGAGTTGAGCAGAAAGGGACTCGAAGCTTGTTGGACTCGACGAGTCTTGGGTCGACTCGGCGAGTTAATTCATGGCATGGGAGTTTTTGAGCATAGGAACTCGACGAGTCAACGGCTTGACTCGATGAGTAGGGTCAACCAGGAAGGTTGACTTTGACTGAGGACCTTGACTTTGACCAAG